TTTCGAATAATTGTCACTTAAATTGGAAAAGACTCTCTCACGCATTTATCCTTCGGGGCAGGCACGCAAAAAGGAGGTGTGACATATAAAACGACCATCCAAACAAGCTGCTACCAAGACAGGTGAGCTTCACGTGTCTAAATTCTTCCATAAAAAGTCTAAATAAAGAGGAAAAAATTTCCTATTAGACTAAATATTTAATAGAGGGCAAATTGGTAATTACGACTTACAAATTTGCCCCTTCTCCCTGAAATCCACTTTCCATGTTATTCTTCCATTTTCTCTGAAAATTCTTGAAAATTTGCTCTCAAGTCTCTCTACCTTAAATTTACCAAAATTTTCAATAATCAATTCTTGAATCCCTTTTTCAAAGATTTCAACTTTATTTCCTTAAGCAGCTGAAACTTAAATATTTTTCCACTGATTTAGTATTTTCTATGGCTAAGAAAAACCATGTCTTTAATTACAAAGCTTCTGAAACTAACTCCATATTCACCACATCTTTTTCTTTTACAAAACTGTCCAAATATGAAACAATTATTGAAATTTCATGCACATTTTGTCACAACTGGCCTTTCCAATGACACCCTTTTCCTTAGTGCTATTTTATCTTTTACTGCACTCTCTCCTAATGGAAATTTAGCTTATAGCCATTTAATTTTTGACCACATAGATTCACCTAACACTTTCATGTTTAATACTATGATTAGGGGTTATGCTTCTAGTTTTAATCCAAGTAAAGCAATGATTTTTTATGTTAAAATGTTGAACTATGGTTTTGTTCCTAATAATTATACATTCCCTTTTGTTGTTAAAGCTTTGTCTAGGACTAAAGATTACCTTTTTGGTGAAGCCTTACATTGTTCAGTTATTAAATTTGGGCATGTTTTGGACCTTCATATAGTAAATTCACTTTTACATATGTATGCAAGTTTTGGGTTGTCTAATGAGATCATGATTATGTTTGATGAAATTCCTGAACCAGATATCGTTTCTTGGAATGTGATAATTGATGATCTTGGTCAAAATGGTTGTTTTTATGAGGTTCTTGATGCAGTCAATGAGATGGGTCGATACGGGGTTGAGCCTAACTCGGTTACACTTCTTGGACTTGTCTCGTCGTGCTTGAAAACGGGGGATTTTGGTATAGGGAAGTTGATTCATTTGTATGTAATAAAGAAAGGGATACACATTAGTGAGAATCTTGGAAATGGTTTGATTGATATGTATGCTAAATTTGGAGATATGGAATCAGCTGACAAACTGTTCAATAGGATGCAAATGAAGACAGTGGTAACATGGACTTCACTACTTGTTGGTTTTATACAAAAAGGTGAACTACAAAAAGCTAGTGTAATTTTTAATCATATGCCTAAGGATATTACTGCTTGGAATGTTATGCTTAATGGATATGCTGAGGCTCGCGATATGAATTCAGCCGAAATGATCTTTAGAGCAATGCCAAATAGAGATTTGGTTTCTTGGAACACTATGATTGGTGGCTATACTCAGAACAAGAAGTATATGAAATCCTTAGAGCTGCTAAGAGAAATGCTTAGTTTCGGATTGAAACCTGATCGGATAACATTAGTGGCATTGTTCTCAGTTTGTGGATACGCAGGTGTACTGCGTATTGGTGAAGCCGTTCATTCTTTCGTGGAGAAACAGAACATAAAGGAGGAAGAAGTTGAGGTAGCCTTATTGGAAATGTATAGTAAGTGTGGTGATCCTGAGAAAGCTCTTAGAGTATTTGAAACCATACCAAGAAAGTTGGTGTTAGCTTGGACTAACATGATTGTAGGACTAGCAATGAACGGTCTTGCAAATGAAGCTCTAATGTTGTTCAATAAAATGTGTGATGAGGGAATAAAGCCTAATGAGATAACATATTTAAGTGTTTTATGTGGTTGTAGTTATGCAGGTTTAGTAAAAGAAGGTAAATGGTTGTTCAATGCTATGAGTCAAGTACATGGTATTACACCAAGATCTGAGCATTATGGTTGTATGGTTGATCTTCTTGGCCGAGCCGGTTTGCTAAAGGAAGCAGAGATGTTTATTCAAGAAATGCCAGAAAAGGCTGATGCTGGAATCTGGGGTGCATTATTGGGAGCTTGTAGAATGCATGGTAAGGTTCAATTAGGTGAAAAGATAGCCAAGATTGTTACTCAAATGGACCCTTATCATTCGGGTCGTTACATTCTTCTCTCCAACATTTATGCTGCAGAAAATAGATGGATTGATGCTGAAAAAGTAAGGAAGAAGATGAAAAGTTCAGGTATACATAAAACTCCAGGCTTTAGCTTGGTTGAGATGAAAGGTGAAATGCACCAATTCATAGTAGGCAATCTTTCTCTATGAGATTTGCCAAATTTGATGCATGTATGTACTAAGAAAGAAAAAAGCTTGTGCATTTTTTAGTATAATATGGTGTTCAAATTGGTTAAATATTACTCTCTATTCTATAAAATTTATAGTGGACTGGATTAATTTTCAGTTTAGCACCAGATATTAGATATTGTATCCTCAATAACAACAAAATATATTTCTTCTTAGAAAATGGATCAAAGAACAATTGAAGCCATTGCAGCTAGGAGGGAATGTTGTCAGTCTTGTAAATGTGTAATTGAAACAAGTTTTGTTAGACAAATAGGAAAGTTGAAGCTGAGTAGAGATCCCGGATGGCCGGAGGCCTGAAAACAAGACAGTCCAAAAAAAGACCTTCTGTCTATACACTTTCGAGAATATAATAAAATAGATGAGACGACAGTGATTGACAAAGCAGGGGAGTTGAGTCTTGTCTCCTTTCACTTTATCGTACTCGGAGGAATGGTGACCCGAGAGTACACGCCAGACGAAATGATTGTGGCTCCATATACGGGGGATTATCGGGTTCTTATCGATACATTAACTAGAACCTATTGGAATTGGAAGTAACCGTAAGCGAGGGAGGGAAAGGAAAAGCAATAAAAACCAAACTTTTTCAAAGTGAAAGACATTCGGAAAGATATTTCAGAAATTCGTAATCAAGAAAAAAAATTGTTCAAGTCCAAATAGCAATTGTATCATATAAGCCCCAGGGCCTAGCTCAAGTGGCAAAGGGTGGTAGATTTGTGTCTTAGGTCACAGGTTCAAGCCCCCACACCATGCAAAGTAAAGTCTGGTATTTAAGTGGAGAAGGGTAGAGGGGCCGGCCCATTATCCACCGAGTTGTCTTAGGTCACAGGTTCAAGCCCCCACACCATGCAAAGCAAAACCTGGTATTTAAGTGGAGAAGGGTAGAGGGGCAGG